AGATATAAAACTAACATGTTTCGTCTAATGAGTCTCCAGATTCTATACTTAATGATATGACGTGTTATATAAAACCAGGCAATATTAGTATTACAATTAAATATTACTTATCACAGCTGCTGCATAATCTACTCTATAATATTCGACATGTCTAGAGCGGGAACATTGAGATTTGTTTTTTTTAAATCACAACCTAGTATATTTTTGCATTTATGGTTCCATGTGTAATTTTCAAATAGTTATAATCTGAAATATTTAAATTCTAATGACTAACGTTTCAAAGGCACTTAGTTTTATACTGACAAGACTTGTTATGGTTGTACTCTGCATATACATTTTGATTGTATGATGGTAACTCCGACGGACAGTAACCTAAGCGAACGGTCGCTGTGAAGCCGCTCTCTCGCAGCGAGGGTCGAGTGTCGAGTGGAGAACTTACTGCGGAAAAGCAATTTCACAGAACAACCTTCGCGCCTAACTTAAAGTAATATCTAAATGGTAATGTGTATAAAATACTTAAGATTACGTGGAAGATTGATTTGAGTCTCACGTGTTAAAGTAACGATCCACCTTTAACTGGCAGTGAATAAAAATCTTTCCGTCTCAACAAATTTCTAAGGCACTGTTTAACCCCTAAGTTTACTTCTAAATTGGCCCCAAATATTATAACATCAATAGTACAAAAACATAATCAACATAAAGGAACTTATTTATATATTTTGATCCACGCAACATACACGGCAGAGAGTACTCTTAAATTAAAATAAATGCATAAGATGTAAAGAGATCTAAAAATTAAAAAAATCGATATAAAAACATTAACTTATGAGTATTACGAATATACTGGAACATGCATTTATGGCAAAGAACTAGAGTTTGCTAACTAAGCGAAAATAGCTTCGTTTTATTACAGCTAATGTATGTAGACACACGAGTTGCTCACAAGGCGCTACGTCGTTTGTGTGCACGGCGGGCTCTCCCGCCGCTGGCCGCGCACGGGCGGGATCGACCGCAACGACCAAAAATACAATTCCATCATCAAACTATAATTAATCGTAAATTCAGGAATGATCGTTTTGCACATTAAATGCTTTACAAAAATATAATATTTTTAAAAGTGTAAAATCGTAACTACAAAATCACGAACTTAGCTTAATGGATAAATGCAATAGTCGCAGAGACGGACCCGACACGGCCGGGCGCGAGCGAGGCGCGACACTATCACAAGATATATCATCTCTAGGTACGCTACGTCTACAGATCACATCGGGACACAAACCGAGCGAGATGGGGGGCTAGGTACAAGCGTCCACGTTGTCCTGCTTAATGTACTGATCCGGTTTGAGATGCAGGTCGCGGTGCATTCTCTCCATGTGACGAGCGATGTGCATCTTCTGCTTGGCGCGGTAGACGCAGTAGGGGCACTGGAACTGAGGCTCCTTGCCACACTCCCACTTCTGGTGGTTGCGCAACGACGACTTGAGCTTGTACAGGCGGCCGCAGTCCGGACACGCGAACCCGGGGTCCGGGGTCCGCAGCCCCGCCACCCCCGCCACCCCGGCCACCAGCGGCAACGCCAGGCGCGCCGACCACTGCTCCCACGACAGGCCCCCGATGCGGCTGAACGACACGTCCTCTCCGCCGCCCGTCGACCCTGAAACCGCCACGCGCTCACTCGCTGGGACAACACACTCCCGTCTGCCTACTCTACGTACATACACATACATATTATATAACACGAAACATATACATATTAAATGTCAATACATACATTAATATATGCTACACGAATATATAAAAATCTACGTGTCAGTGTTCCACCGAGTGCTGTGATGAATAGAAGCTTTGCAAAGGAAAAGTAAAAAAAAGAACAAAAAAAGAAATCATAACATTTATTTGAACTGAAATGAAAATACGAACGTCGATCGAAATTTTGCAACAAATCTCGATAGATCGTCGTCGGGCGCCGCGCCGCCGGGCGCCACCGGCTCGGTTTTAGTCACACGATTGTTAATGAAATGTATCTCCCGACCCACGGGCTTTCTTCTACCTGAAATTATTCATTATATTAGTATGAACGAAACGGAAAAGAAAATCAGTGAACGAACATGCTAAAGTAGAAAATGCAAGCGGAGGAATTCATTCGCCGGACCATGCCACGACATGCTTTAGTTAACGAGTGTCGGGTCCGCTTCGACCGAACCCACTTACCGGCCGCCAACACGCACATTATTGCCAACAGAAACGCGAGCCCGGAACAAAAGGTAATTAAAACACATGCCAAATTTATTTACTAAAACTATATTTGATATTAACTTCTCTACCGAATAAACCCCAATATATGCATATAAAAATCACACTAATCAATTAACTAGTTTTTCAATAACATTAACAAACAATGTAAAGTTTAACATCCAAATATTCATATATCAGTACCTTAACCGCTATCATAACATGATATGACGGAATTATTGCAATTCAATAAATTCTCTATATAAATATAGCAATGACTCGAATATATTAACAACAAATATATAACTTTTTTAAATATATTTTCTTATCATCACTTTATAAAACTAATACTGACTTTGGTCAAATAGCTTTGTTTATTCTAGTTTAACAAAAATATCAACAGTCGATATGAATATGTTATTGCATGTCAAATATCAGCTTTTATAATAAAAATATGTCTTTTATATATATTTTTGAACACATCCGTTCCCAGCTCTCCCTTAATGTAATACCAAAATCAACATGAATATGTATATAATAATATATCATAAATCTTTTAACTTTTATAACTACAGGTAACATTGTAGGCACATTAATGATGAGCTTCACTTATCTAAGTCGGTACAGACGACCTTACTTCTTAACGCGGACGTCTTGGTCCTTCATTATTTAATCTAATAAATAAACAACATTAAAATAATAAAACTTTGGGTTTGCTACAGAAAACAATTAGGAAGACAAGGTAGTGGTCCCCGTATCATAAATTAGAAAATAAACAATATTTAATAATAAATTATAAACGAGAACAATAAAAAAATCGTGTCAGGATAACTAAATCTTTACGAACTTTGGAAGCAGAGAACAAATTATTCTACCCGTGGTGGGAATTATACAACTAATAATGGTAAAATAGAAAAGCCTGTTTTAACAGGTGTAACAAGTAAATATCGACTAATTACATCTTAATATCATTGCACTAAATAATTTTGGAATTATTCCCATTTAGGAATGGTAGGTAATTAACGCTAAGCAAATTCGAGATAACTGAATGGAATATGATTTGCGGCCCCGAGGTGTTCAGTTTCTTGCCGATTAAAAAAAATATTGACGGGGAGACAGACTTGGCCTCTCTGATTTAAAATTTCTTTGGAATTAAAAACAGAATTATCGGCGGTACGTTGCGTTTCGAAATTGATATTGAAATCGTGGAACCGTGGACGCGTTCGACATCTCGGGGCGTCGACCGCTGCGACTCAGTCTTAACTACCGTCACAAACTCCGAACAAACAACAGACCGGCAGTCTCCGTCTCCAGGGAATGTGCACGTTGCGACTATGAACTAGAATTAATTAAAGTCGTTATCAAACTAAACAAAAAACAAAACGTAATCGTAAATTTAAATAAGGATCGCAGGATCGATTTGGTGCGGGGTCTACTTTGGTGCATTCAGGCGAGCGCCTTCTTGTTGCGGCGCATCTTGTTGCCGGCGTACAGACACCACTCGGCCGTGTGGTGCTTGCGGATGTGCACGCCCAGGTTGCCGCGCTGCTTGGCGCGGTAGGCGCAGTGCGGGCACTGGTGCGCGGGCGCCTTGCCGCCGCACTCCACGTTCTCGTGGCGCCGCAGCGTGGACTTCCAGCGGTAGCGCTTGCCGCAGTGCCGACACTCGAACTGGCGCGCCGGCTCGGCGGGCGGCGGCTCGTCGCTGAGCACGATGTCGTCCGTGTCGTCGTACTCCAGCTGCAGCGCGCGCTGCACGCTCAGCAGCGACAGCAGCGCCGGCGGCAGCGCCTTGCCGGCCTCTGCGAACACATCGGCCCTGATGCAAACGGACAACGACCAAGCGCCACAACTGCCTACTTTGTTAATGCTACCGAGGAGGCTCAATCGTATTAAGGAACCAAAGAAATGCGTTACGGTACTAAAATATTAAAATAAACTCAGTTAGATCTCTTAAGAGGCGAAGCGTCTAAGTTCATGCAGACATGCACAGACCGGCGACCGCTCGCCGAGCGGCCATCTTCCCATAAATCGAGGGAACGCGGAGGGCGGCGGAAATGAAACGCTGAAGAGATCTTGATCGCGTTTAATAGTTTAAAATGTCCAATATCATCGATTCATACTTCATAAGCGTATAAAGATCATAATAATATAAAATTCGAATACAATCTAAAAGGAAGATCCAAAGTTACGTCGTATCGTCGTAAGGCACTAGTGGTTCGGCCGCGGACGGCGCGGCTCAGTTGACGGCGAGCGCGTGGCCGGGGTGCTTCTTCTCAATGTGTTTCTTGAGTTCGTTCCGGCGGTGCTTGCTGTAAGCGCAGTGCGGACACTTGTACTGCGGGTCGCGCCCGCACTCCAGCGTCACGTGCCTCACGAGGTTCTTGCGCGCGTTGTAGCAGCGCTGACAGTTGGGACACTTGTAGCCCTTGTCGGTCTTGTACTGCGCGCACGGCAGCGACACGCGGTCGGCGCGCGGGAAGATGTTGTAGCGCGAGTCGGCGGGCGCGGCGGGCGGCGCGGGGGGCGGGTTGGGCGCGGCGGGCCGGGCGGCGTTCTCTTTGCCGAGGTCGGCGGGCGAGGGGCAGGCGGCGGCGGACGGGGGGCACACGGCACCGGGGGGCGCGCCCGCGAGGGGAGGAGACGGCGCGGGAGGAGACTTCACGTTCTTGAGTATGGCGAGGGTGGTGGCGCCGCTTTCTTCCATTACTTTTTTACTTCGCGTGACGATACTCTGTCTCGGTGTCGTCGGTTTCCGACCTGCAATAGAGAAAGCCCGAATACAGTCCGTCTTCCGCTCTGCCCGGGTGAACGAGCCTGTTCGGTTCCGCAAATAAAAACCAAAATGGCAACGTAACAAAATATATTGAAATATAAAAAAAAATGTTTACAAAACAAAACAGTAACTGGCTATGTAGCTAGCTGCTCACAAGTGATATTTATATTATTTCCTTGATTTATGAGCGATATAGATTTCGAAAACTTAAAAATAAAAATCTTTAAAAGAAAAAAAACAGCACCCTTCTATGCATAAACTAAAGTAAGTAACAAAAATATTCAACTTCTAAAAACGATCAGCATAAAAATGACTTGTTCTTAACAATTCATGTTTTATGAAACAAAAATAAAAAGCAAACAATAAACGGCGTCCGTAATCAAGCGGGATGTTTCTGTAGGACGTGCATCATCAGTGTTTTTTTCTGTGAGTATTTTTTCCCGCACTTCTCGCAGCCGAACTGCGGGCCCGTCACGCACTCGTACTTCTCGTGCCGGAGCTTGTTCCTCCTGTACTTGTACTGTTTCTGCTTGCAAATGGAGCACACGTATCTCCTGTCCTTATCATTGGGTAGTTTGTCTCCGCAAGCGACCCCATCTTTCTGAATTTTTCTTTTTCCTTTTTGCATCTTTTTCATATGCGGTTTCTTTCTCATTTTTTTATGAATAGCATTTACGTCGCTTTGGTTTTCTATTGGTACCTCGAAGTTTTTAAGATAGCCACGAGTTAATGGAAAAGGAGTTTTTGCGTATGCAGCAGTAGTGCTAGTTAGTTCAAAAACGATAGCTGGAATATGAAATAATAAAAGCACAATAATTATGGCAGCAGCATTGTGTTAGTAACGCTTTTGAGTGAAGGTGTTAGTTAGTACACGGAAAAATATAATGAATTTATTTTTTATCATTATTGGAACATGACGTATAGCTGAAATGATCGGATTAAGAATTATGAAGCAGATTAAGCGGAGACACAAGCAGGGATGGTTTCAAGAGGAAATTTAGTTTTGATGTTTCGTTCACATTTAAAACAAATCGCCTCGATCACTCTGTTTGGTACTGTTTCATCGCCTTTCCGTTACACGCTGTAAAATTACGTCATATTGTTTTTTTTAAAAATGAAATGCGCATTCACTAGGAACGATGATAAAAACGAAAAAATATAATAACATGCTTCCAAATGGCCAACGTCAAGTCCTGCCGTCGTGAACATGCGCGGGTCGACTGACGTACACAGTCGAGATTTTAAAACATGAATTGCTAAGAAAAGACATTTGCAGTGAAATCACATGTGAATGCAAATAATAAAAAAGAAATAATAAATAATAGATAAATAAGCCACATAACCAACTACGTCGCCAGTATAATGCTCAACGGGTTTACCTGCGCTGTGTCGGTCCGCTCCGCTGGCACCGCGCTGGCGCCACGCCGGCGGCCGCGCTGGCCTCGAGCGATCGCGAGTTCGTGGCCCGACGGTTCAAACTACGTTTCGGCTCGTATCGTTACCGTGTATAACCCAAAAATGTGGGTGAAATGGTGTGTAATAATGTGCGTGTTACCAACAAATAATATATCTCTATTCATCACTACATAAAGTTATGCAACGTTTCAAATAAATACGTAAATGTTTACTTACCAATAATATATTATTATAATTTGCCATCCAATCCACAATGTTAGCGTTAAAACCGAAATAAAATGGCGGTAACCGAGTTATTCTGTGCGGCCGACATACCACTAACGCATGCGATTATTCTACATTATAAATACGACCCATCTTTCACACTCATAAGCTGATACGTTTTAAAATAATCAAAATTTGAATACTTACCTTGTCAATTACCTCACCTTCGAAAGGCTACATAACGAAAAAAAAAACCTTTTTTACCAAACCTTTTTTTACCTGTCACACTGGAATAACTTATAAAATTATCGGTACAGGAGGGTATAAATTGTAAAGATTAGTATTTTATAATAATATTAGAATTAGATAGTAATTAATAATATGTTGTAGTTTCACATGTGAAAACACTTGCACTCTCGTATCCGCCTGTCATTGAATATAATATTTATATAGATATCATTATAAATAGATTATTTTAAGCAATGACTGTTCTAATTTCAAATTATGGGAAGACATTGCGCATTTCATCCGTTCCTTGTAATTCTGGGACCATCAATTTATCTATGTTCACGTTTACGTTGGTCGGAATGCAAGGAGATGGAAACGTTAAATTAATTGTCCCAGAATGTCAGTTTCGAATCGTGCGGTACGACGCAGCGCCGCGGGGCTTACCTTGCTGTTCCCGGGCGTTGTCACTCGAGTTCATTATTTCGTCTTGAGATCTCTCCATGTGCCATTGGAAATCTGTGGACAATACACATTCGTGATAATAGAGAGTAATAGAGTTAATGATAGAGTTGTGCTCTAAGCTCTAAATAGCCCGTTGGGTTTGATTAGGTGTTTTTATTTTATTTATTGCTTAGATGGATGGATGAGCTCACAGCCCACCTGGTGTTAAGTGGTTACTGGAGCCCATAGACATCTACGACGTAAGTGCGCCACCCACCTTGAGATATATAAGTTCTAAGGTTTCAAGTATAGTTACAACGGCTGCCCCACCCTTCAAACCGAAACGCATTACTGCTTCACGGCAGAAATAGGCAGGATGGTGGTGGTGGCGGACTCACAAGAGGTCCTACCGCCAGTAAAATCTTCTCATCTTCATGTATTTCGAGTGCGTGTCTTCAAATACGTGAAGATGTAAGTGTGCAGATAGGAAGAGTATAATTTATTGTACTTTTTTTAATGACAAGGTTTTTATTTTTTGATAAGAGCCCTAAGATTGTTTCAATGGTATAAATTGTCATTCAACCACATGTTGACACTCGGTTCAGTGTCCCTACCGATTGTAGCATCACGCGGCGACGATCGTTATATTGACCGGATATAGTCAATTTAACTTGTAAGGTCAACATGTGAATAGGAGAGCACTAGTCGCCTGCTGTATTGAAATGATTTAGTATTCAATGATAATTTTTGGATATTGTTTTTTATTTATTGTTTATTATCTTCATGTTTGAATTCAATTTAACACAACATATTAATTCCATAATTAATATTTAATCATTAACACTTTAATTAAAAGTTACATACCGGAAATGAGACATTAAATAAAATAAAAAAAACGAAAAAAACTTGACAATTACTTTTGTCTTATAGACAGTTTTGTTGTCATCAAAGATTGCAAAAAAGGAGAGGAGCAAAATGCCATTATTAAAAAGTAAACAAGTTGAGGGCCTGACCCCGTGAGCTCACCTACTAGCCCGGTGACGCTCATATGGTCTCTAGACCATCAGCTTAGGTTGGGAAAAAAAAGAGGACAAATAGCAGAAAGTGTACTGACTGCGCACGACGTCGTTGTGGGAGGGCGGCGGCGCGTCGTCGTGGTGCTCGTCGTCCAGCGTGAGGTCCTCCAGGGTGTCTGCGCGGGACAGTTCGTCCTTGGGCGGCGCGGGGGGCGGAGGGGGGGACGCGCCGTTGTGCGCCGCGCCCGACCCGCGCCGTGCCTTCTTGCGGCGCCGGGACGGACTCAGCGAGCCTTCGCGGCTGTCGGGGCTCGCGTCGCGACCCTGAGACAACAACATATATACATAAAAAAACTTATAAGTATATTTAAAATAGACAGTGATCTAGAATTGATATTCATATGTGGTACAGACCAGACAGACAATTATTGCATGGGTCTTACCATTCTTGTTTTCAATATCAATTACAATAGTAATAGCTGATAAATAGTAGTGCAAGACGGTCGTGACGTACCAGCGGCGCGGGCGACGCGGTCCGTGCGGCGAGCGGCGGCACCAGGGGGGCGGGGGGCGCGGGCGGCGCGGTCGCGGGCACGGCGGGGGCGGGCGCGGTCGGCTGCGGGCGCGAGGGCGGCCTCGACGGCTTGTTGTCGGAGAGACCTTTGATCTGCAGAGACTCGGCTGCTTTCAGAAGAGCCGCGAGCTGGTCTTGTGAAATGTTCACCTCGCCACGGTACATGTAGTCCATCATGGCTCGTAGCTCCGCATATTTTACGTCTTTTAATATTATGATTGGATGCTTGTCGTATTGTTGAGATAGCACACTCTGGAACAAGATATAAGACTTCCGATAAAGTTATTATGCTAATAATAAACAGAAAAACAAAACATGGGTGATTTTATTAGATGTAATCAACCAATTAAATTATGCATCAACAATGTTACAAAAACTGAAGAACAAACAAACAATTGTATAAACTCTGCAAATACATTTTGTTACTTTTATATAAGTATTAAGGTATTTAATTACTTCAGTTTGAAAAGTATCGATCTTTAATTTGTGTAATTAGTGTGGTAAAAGAGCCACAAAAATATAAATGAACCACAAAAATAAACCAGCATTATTAACCAGAAGTATTTCCATTTTCCCACTTATTTCGCTAGTCATCAATTATAAGTAGCTTTATTAAATTATCTAAAAAATCACATAGGTTTCTATTCTCATTTTTTCCTAATTATAAATTAGGAAAAAATATATAAATATAATTTAATGTTTAGCAAATTGTAATAGTAAATTTATGTTCATACATTTGGTAATAACAGGATGTCCTTAAGGTTTCATCTTGATTTTTTTTGCAAAATGCACAGATTTTTTTTTGTATTTTTTTAAGCTTCTTAAGTTGTGTTGTAGATCTATTAACTATTTTGCTCTATTGTAATATTACATTTCACAGCTCATAATAGTCTCCAAAAAAATTTTTTTTTTTTTTTTTTGTTGCTTAGATGTATGGACGAGCTCACAGCCCACCTGGTGTTAAGTGGTTACTGGAGTCCATAGACATCTACAACGTAAATGCGCCACACACCTTGAGATATAGTTCTAAGGTCTCAGTATAGTTACAACGGCTGCCCCACCCTTCAAACCGAAACGCATTACTGCTTCACGGCAGAAATAGGCAGGGTGGTGGTACCTACCCGTGCGGACTCACAAGAGGTCCTACCACCAGTAAAAAAACTTGGAGCTTGTTTAAAAAACTCATGGTGATGGGATTTTATTTTGCATACACATTTGTACAAGTAATAGTTGAATGTAGCAGTCTGAGATGTATGAAGAATAAGCCAGAGCATCCTAGTTTTTATCTTACCGCTACCGTAATCATGCTACATCTGCACACTAGTTCCATATCAACGGAAAGTACAAACTATTGCAAATAATTACTGGAGTTTGAACTATAAAATTGTCATTATCTAACATGGTTGTCGTAAAAGTAGTAGTAGTAAAAATCATTGCACCTATAAATCATTAAAATTTATACATTTTTGCACAAAAACTGTTTAATTTCAGTTTAAAACTGTTTAATTTCAGTTTGTTTTTTTAATATTTTACTATGACATGACTTTGAACATTAAAAGAAATCTAATTTGAGTTCTGACATAGTTCAAGTGCAAAAAACAAGCAGGTAGATATTAAGATAAATAATGATGAATTAAAAATAAGTAATGGTAGTAATCAATGAATTAGCATTAAGATTTATCAATCAATCAATAGCCCATAACCACTCATTTGCACCAAAATGATCAAATAAATACTAAATAAATAAGTGCCTTATGAATTAATGTATCCGTATGCACATTGATAAGTAGGTATAGGATACTTCCCAAGGGATTTAAGTCATTGTAATATGTTATGAAAAAAAGGATTCTCAGAACAAACCCTAGGATAATGCTTTTAAACAAAGTTTATCCATTGAATATAACAATTTGTATAGTTATTAGGTGCTCACTTGAGAATATAATTCACTATGGCTTTTTAAGATCCAGGAAATCAGTAAAAGTAGATGCCTATTATTATGAACTTAGAACAAATGAGGTCAAACTCATCATCTAAATTATTTATCTGTGCAAGAGCACATTGGTCAGTATTTTTAACATGACAAAATATTTCAGAAACTTCATTGTCTGGTTTTGCGCAATTCAAATTATGTATAAATTTTCAAGTAACACACTGATCGTGCTGTTTATTTTGTATGAAACCTTTGGAATGTTTTCATTTTGTAGTCATGCAAGTGTTGTAATAGTGAGTCTTATAATTTGTAGAAACATACTTAAAATGAGGGTTGATTTCTTATTGAGGCATAACAAATGGTCAAAACATAATAATTTCAACACTCTTTGTGTTTATTTATCATATTTTAGTGTGTAAAACCAATATTTTTTCATTTGTTTTGTATCTCTGTTTTCGCTTTTCCTCTGTGATTGAGTAACACACACTTAGTTAAACCAATTTGATGATATTGCGACAGAAATCATATAGTGATTAATAATAGTTGATATTTGGCTAGGTGCAATTTAAAACAAGTACAAAAAAGTGGTTGAGACAACTTTCTGTTGCCAACTCATCTATGTGGTCGATGTGAGCAACCTAATCGTTTAAACATGAAAGCTAGAACGAAACAAGTCGAATGTTTATTAGAGCAAAACTGCGCCGTTCTTCGCGCAACTTACGATTAATTTGACCTAGATTCAGTACCGACCTCGAAATAGGGACTGCATGCCGAGAGCACTACTTTGTGCGCTTTGAGAGTCTGTCCTTCGGCTGCTAGGGTGCAGTCCACATGCATGCCCTTCTCCAAAAGCGTGTCGAACACTGAAACCAGCGTCGACTGATGGTTGTTCCACCGCAGGCAGAACTGTTGATCGTCATCCATTATGCCCTCTTGCCGCTCACCGCGCCCACCGGCCCTACAAAGTCACTAAATTAACTCCACTTCTAGAAATTATCTAAACACCACACAGGAATTAGGGCAATTTGG